AGCAAGCATCTTCAACCTGGGTATTAGTTAACAGCCTTGAAGTCCTGCCAAGTGACATTTTTCTTAATCCTTCAATACATGTATAATTTCTGTAATGTACAACAGTGACATCCTAGTGTCTACAACTCCCTTTTGAACACCAAACTGCCTCCTGGTGTCCCTAGCCCTAATATGAATGGGAGGATTCTGTGCATTTTAGGCTAATGTCCTACATGCAACCACAGTTCATAAGCAAATCTCTCCTGTATCATACATTAAAATATATACATCACCTCTCTGTCATACTAAATGTAAAATTCAGGCTTTGGTAGATAGACTCAGCTTCCTTTCAGGGATTTTTACTCTCTCTTTTGGATTTTTCAAAACTCTTCTAAAGCAAACAGCTCATGCTTTCGTCAGGGCTGCGTGCCACTCTGATCTGACAATCTCCGCCTTAATCTTTGAATTAAACGAGAACATCTGTATATTTGGAATTGCTAACCTGCTTATGTGCAAGCAGATAATTCAACAATTACATTCGAACAGTTTACCTTTTCTGGTTCATTCAATGGAACGAGCATGTGCATTCTATTAAAATGTCTACTTAGAGAAGCATACTACTTCAGAGAAGTCCCATTGTTTTTATGAAACTTAAATGTCACAGGCACATTTTATGGAGGAAAGCCACTAATTCATGTAGCTGTTTAACTTCAGTGGCAGTTGAGTATATCTGTTGTTTATATGCATGGATTTATATGCACCATGGATCATTTGCCTTCTCGATGTGAAAATAGGATAGCATCATCACCACACTTGTAGGAGCCGAACCTAGTACCTAAGTGTTTCTTCCCCAACTCCAGGCAAGATCCTGGAATGATTATTCAGATAAAAAAAAAATGGTTGCACTGAGGATACACACTGTGGTTTCATAGGAACCAGATCCAAGACATCTTGTACTAACGATCTAGGGAGAATTCATGGAGATTACAAATAAAGCCCATTAACTGTAATCACGACACAGAGTTACATGTTACAATCACCTTTTGACTTGCTTGAGATCCAAATCTGGTCGCCTGTAAAATGGAAGCAAAAATATGAATCATTTAAAATTAGTCCTAATCAACAGGCATATTAAGACATGCTGGGTAAAATCCTGACCCCCACTTGAAATCAGTGGGAATTTTACTATTGACTTTATTACAGCCAGCATTTCACACCTTGTCTCATGGAACATTATCTCCACATTTTTAAGGACAATCCACTTTGTCCATTCTTCAGTTGTAAATGGGACTGAAAACTCCTCGCTCTGACAGTGGTTGCCATTCAATGAATTCAATGACCACTTAACAATTTTGAAAAGTTGAGGCACTCAGGTATAAAGTGGGAATACAGAAATCCCAGGGTTCATGAAGTACCAAATAAAAGATAAGCATTTAGACCCTTCTTCAGTGCCTCCTGTAGTAGGCAAGAGGAGATGAGGCCACAATGTCTGAAAGGTGGACTTGAAGAAATACAGAATGACAAGGGCTCTACCCTTTAATTCAGGCAGCTGCGTGCAAGGTCAACAAGAAGCAGAGTGCCAGAGTTAATCCTTAGCATTAGTGAGAATTACTTGAGCACATCAAGGAGGGGAAGAGATTCCCCAGGATAGAGCAAATGTCTTATGATATTTTTAACTCCAAGCCACCTGTCTGTCAGTCCACAAATTCTAAGAACATTTCACTGTTTTTCTTCATTAGTAATGCTGAAATATGAAAAAATACTAAAAATATCCACTGGTTCTTCCCCACGATCTTGAAGGAAAACTATTACAAGCCCTAACTGCTGAAAAAGAAAGAACAAAACAGAAGAAGGGGGAGGCAGGGGAAAGAGGGGATGGGGGGAGAAGAGAAGTTGGGGATGGAGACTCTCTTAATCTTCCTTTAATTATATAAAGATAAATCCATAAGAGGCCTAATCAAGTTAACAGAACCCCTTTTACCCTGCAAAAAAATCAGACAGAAGTAAATGCTTGGATGTACTTACACCCTCTTTAGCTGCTGTGGCAATCTTGCTTGCTCCAGTTGTAAAGCTACTCCATCCCTTAAAAAAAAAAACAAAAAAAAAACCAAGATTTGTTCTACTATTGCTTAGTTAAATTAATGCAATATATTAAATAGTATATCTTGTCCTGTAGCTATGGGAAATGCCTACTGATTGAGACAGGTTTGTAGCAAAGTCCTACTGAACAATAAAAATACTGTGATGATGAATTTCCCTTGTTTTCTTCTGGATTTCTGCACAAATCACAATTATGACTACTGCAGGCTGAACACCCCTGAGCTGCATGAGTTAATCTAATGAAAAACAGAGTTTTATGAAGTTCTCTCTGTAGAAACAAAATATATTTTCACAATAATGGCAAGAGGCTGCAAAATGGTAGTAGAGCCCAGACAAATACAGGCATCTTCCAGGCTACTTTCTGTGTGTTATGAGTGAAAAAAGAAAAGGCAGAGTGTACTCTGACATAAGCCTAGAAAAAGCTAAAGCCAAGAGCTATACATCCAAACAAAAAGGACTGAAAGGCTCATAAGAGGCAAATACAAATACGTTATTGATTTTATCTGCCTGTTTATGAGAAAGCCTGAAATAACTTTTTTTTTCCTTTTTAGCCCCAGAAATATAAGCCTTTGTTTGTTGCCTTTTTTCTTAGAGGTTTTCTTGGAGGATCCAGAAACTCAATTATCCACTCTATCAGACCTTAATTAAAGTAATAGGGTACTGAATCTGCAAAAAAACATTTTTCTTTCCAATTTTGTGTCACATCTAATAAGGAGCTAAGCAAAAAGGAGGAGGAGAGGATACATTATAAACACTCTTCCTCTCAATTGTTCAGCTTTCAGTTCCCATTAGTTACCCAGCCATCCAGAGTCTTCCAAGAAAAACAAGGCAGGCAAGACCTGAATTTCTAATGTAAAAATCCCCAGAAAAAATGTCTTTAACATTCTTCTGGGCCTTCTTTATAAACATTATAAAGAAACAAGGGGCTTTGCCAGTTTCTTTTCCTTTGCAGGTCACCTTCACATAAAATTGTCAAGTTATGCAGCAGCAGCACTATTTAACCACTTCAATGCCAAATTCAAAGTATGTTAACAAAGTGTACTGCTACCATCCTCCCATAGAGTTTCATAGTTGTTAGGGGCTGGAAGGGACCTTACAGATCATCAGGTCCAGCCCCCCTGCACTTGGGCAGAAAAGACTGCTGGGATGGTATTTTTAGAGCACTGATGTTCCAGGGGCATAATGGCTTGAATATATCCTTGTGTGAAGGATGCTTATACAAAAGGATCAGAATGTCTTGCTTGCTACCCTGTCCACTTAATTGTACTAGTTTACTTATGGCGATGAAGAGACTTTTCTTTAAAAAGTCTTTTTAAAACTATATTCTTTAACTGACCCACACCACTGAAGCCTCCTAATTAGCAGTCTTGGCTTGTCTTTATTTCTTGCAGGTAAACATAATGACATAGATGCCAGTGACACGACAATAGAAAGGTGATACTTTCTGGAGTGTGTGATGTTAAATATAGGCTCAAATTGAAAATTCTGGCTTTTTTATGGAACAGGCTGAATGGCTTATCATCAATAACAGCAAATGGTCCTCTTGATGTGCAATGACAGGGAAAAAGCCTCCTGTGCATATTTGTTTTTAACACCAGCTAAAAGGAAAGCTCTCTTCCCCAACAAGGTGATAATTCATGAAGGTAATAAACTTTACTTCTATTAAAAACCATTTAACCTGCAGAGATTGTGTGTGGTCACAAGAGGGCATTTTACCACTAGCTTCAATGAGATCACACAATCAGTAATAGCTGTCAGCAAAGAACCTCAAAGTGAATATATAATGACATCCATTAGTATTGTCTCCTTCCTTTCAACTAACATTGCCAAGTGTGACAGTCAGATCTGAGTAGATTACTTTGAGGTGAGTCTTATGTGGCAGTAGCAGAAATAAGCAATATTCCCCACAAGCTAATTATAGTGGGAAGCATGCAATGCAGAGATGCAAGTTTTCCCCTTCATTATTTATATTCCCATAATCTGGATACAGACAGAAGAATATGCGGTTACAAGTCACAGTGACCTCAAAGAAAGCATCTGCTTACCGAGTACAGTGAGGACATGGCATTATTGAGGAAGTCATCATCCTTTTTTGGAGGGGTGACTGTGTTCCCAAAACCCACATAACGATTCTCTTGGCCTCTACCACAAAGAAAAAAACAACAAAAAGCAGATGAGATTTGTAAACAGTGTGAGTGTGCATTCATTAAAATGAATTAAACATACAAAATAAGATATAAAGAGGCTCTTGTTTCATTTGTTTGTTTTTAACCATTTTCATGCACCTATAAGAACTGGACTAGGCAGATGCATTGGCCGTGTGGGTTCTAATGCACTTTAATCTTAACATGTAGCACCACCACTACACAATTATGTGACATTACTGAAAGTCCGCCAAAGCAAAGAGCCTCCTTGAAAGCTATATTGCCTTAATAAATCTTCACCAGAGGTATAATAGGTCAGTTGGATCACAAATCTTAAGAAACTCTTAACAGAGCTAGTGGTACATAAAATCTGAAGAACCCAACTCTAGCCTTATAAAACATCCACGTTCCACGTAACATGCTCATATTCTAGCCCACTGTGAACTCTACAACTTTATAGATCAAGAGGCTACTATGGCAAAAAAGGAATAATCCCCACTTAAAGCCCACTGTCTATATTTAACTCTCAAGCCTCAGTGCACAAACATGTCCTTGATAGCCGTTAAAAAGGCCATTTCCATCCTCTTTCTAATCCCCTCTAAAGAAAAGTGTTAATATGTGATCCCTAGTAAGAAGGCGACCAACTCTGATATGACAAAATGGATTAACTGTAATAATGCTCTAGCTTAGTTTATACACAAAAGACAGGATACAAAAGGGGTTGTATAAAAGTATCTGGTTTAAAATATATTACTTGAGAGTCAAATGACTTTACCCTTGATAGGAACCAACATCATCATTTAACCAATCTTCAAAGGCTTTCTCAGAAGAGGCAGTTGTGTTCTGGGACTGGCCAGCAGAACTGCGAAAATAGAATTTAAAAACTGAAATGGAATGAACCATAAGCCACTACCTCATTTGGCACATTGCTGTAGTTTGCAAAATTATATATCCATCGGGGTGGCAATATCAGACGCAGAAATTTTCAGGGCACCAGTTCTTTTGGCCCTCAGAACAATCATAACAGTCCCCAAACACTGGCCTTTCAGATGCGTCTCGCCACATTGCAACAAGTGCTTACCATGAAGGACTGCCAGTCATATATTACTTGGTCTTCTTTTCTCTAGCTGCTCATAGAGACATCCAGGTTCTTTATGGTGAATAACCATGAGGCAATCTGCAGAAGTAGCTGTCAGCTGCCTCTACTATATTCTCAAGAATCCAATGAAACCCAGGGGCCTATCTATCATCACTAGAAACCCAGTAGGGTGGCACATCCAAGGAGCATATGCATGCAATCTGTTTTTTCTAAGCAAGTTTGCTGACCTTTTC